CCGCCGCCTCGCCGCTCTCGCTCGCCGTTCGCTCGCCCGCTCCCGACTTTCTACTTCCTCGTGATCCATCTCGCCGTTCGCTCGCTCGCTCGCGCTCGACCTCCTACTTCCTCATGATCCACCGCAGCCACCCTCGCCTCGCCCTCCCGCCGTCTAGTCGCTCGCTCGCCGCTCGCTCGCACGTTCGCGCTCGACCTTCTACTTCCTCGTGATCCACCGCCGCCACCCTCGCCTCGCCCTCCCGACGCCTAGCCGCTCGCCTGCCGCTCGCTCGCACGTTCGCGCTCGACCTTCTACCTCCTCGTGATCAACCCGCCGCCACCCTCGCCCCCCGCCGCCTAGCCGCTCGCTCGCCGTTCGCTCCGCCGCTCGCGCCAGACCTTCTACCTCCTCGTGATCCACCCGCCGCCACCCTCGCCTCGCCCTCCCGCCACCTAGCCGCTCGCTCGCTCCTATCCGTGCCACGCCTATCCGTGATCCTGCCGTTACCGCGCCGTCCTTGCTCCTCCCTGCCGTGCCGCTCCTTCCTCCGTGCCGCGCCGCCCTTGCCGTTTAGCCCGCCGCCCCCCCTGCCGTCCGTTACCGCCGTGCCGCCGTACCGCCCACGCCGCCGCCGCCCTCCACCCCCTCCATACCGCCGCCACCGCTGCTCACGCCGCCGCCGCCCTCCACCTCGCCCACGCCGCCGCTACCCTCCACCTTCTTCCCACCGCCGCCGCCGCCGCTCACGCCTCCGCCGCCTTCCATCTCGCCCACGCCTCCGCCGCCCTCCACCTCTCCCATGCCGCCCCCCCGCCCTCCACCTCGCCCACCCCTTTGCCACCACCCTCTCCTTCGCTCACCCCTTTGCCACCACCCTCTCCTTCGCCGCCCCTCGCCCCCACCGTTCTCCACCTCCATCCCTCACCCTCCCCCCGCCCTACCGACCCACCCACCGCCCACCCATGCCAACTTCCGCCCTCCCGCCGCCCTCGCTTGGCGCCCATCCCACCCTCCGCCCTCGCCCTCCGCCCCTGCCCTGGCTGGCCTGGGTGGCATCTCCGCATCATCACGCGCCAAGTGGGAGGGAAGTGGACGGGGCCCTGAGCCGACCTAGCCCTAAACGGAATGGGGCGCCCAACACGTGCCCGGATTACTGTGCCTTCCCCGGGTGCAGCCTTTCGGTTCGTGAAGGGTCGGTGCGAGTCGTGCTTTCCTCGATCCCCCGCCCTCCCCCGCCATCTCCGCCGCTTTGGCTCTACAGCCTTTACCACCGGGAGGCGGCGAGGCGAAATCAGACTCGGTCGAGAGACCCCAGATTGGCATCCATGCCTCTCTGGACAGGGTGGCCCGCCACAACGACCCCTGGAATTGCGACTCGCCGCTTTCCTCCCGCTGTGATCCTGTGTGAGCTCTGTGTCTTGATTTGCCAACAACATACCTAAACACACACACACACACACACACACACACACAGTGTATCTAGCTCTTACGTACATTGCCAAACATACCGGTGTAGTCAAAGTACCACCCCGCCAGCACGGCCAAATCCAAACTTCTCGCCCGAGAACGAGCACGCCGCCCCAAGACACCTCCTCACACGCTCGCCGCTCAATGCTGCGCCAGTTATTCGTCGCGGTCCTGTGCGTCTCCACCGCTGCCTCCTTCGTCGAGGTCCCTTCTTTCCCGTCCGCGCCCGACGAGGCGGAGCGCTGCCACTGCGATGCCGGCTGCGCGGAGCGCGGCGACTGCTGCGACGCCGCCGTCACGCTGTGCTTCGACGCTCGCCGGCTCGACGTCGCTGCCAACAACTCGACCGCGCCGGCGGACGCTCCCAGCAGCTCGCCCATGGACAGCAATGCGAGCCAGCCCGAGCTCGCCGCGCCGCCGCAAAAGCCGCACGCGGAGCATGAGCACGAGGCGGCCGCGGGGAACGGGAGCAAGCACGATCAGCACGCTGCGGCGGCGGCCCGCAAGCCGCACGCGCACGACGAGCGCGAGGCCGAGAAGGATGGCAAGGGTGGCGACAAGGGCGCTGAGAAGGCCGACAAGGCCGACAAGGGGCGGGAGGCCAAGGCCGACAAGGCCAAGGGCGCCAAGGAGAAGAAGGAGAGGAGCAAGCCGGCGGCGGCGGAGAGCTCGGACAGGGGGAAGGGGAAGGGGAAGGCCGAGCCGGCGAGCAGAGAAGGCAGAAAGGGCAAGGACCGGAGCCTGCTCCTCCTCGGCTGCACGCTGCTCTTCCTCGTCCCGATCAGCGTCTCGCTCGCGATGGTGATGCGCGCGCGCGGCTGCTGCGGGACGCGCTTCTCGAGGCTCGCACGCGACGAGCCGAACGGCAGCGCTGGGCCGAGCCGGCTGACGCCCGTCACCGAGGAGCAGGCGCTCGAGATGATCGAGGCGCCGCGGTGAGGAGCCGGAGAGGCAGCGCGGAGGGCGTGGTGGCGGAGGGCGTGGTGGCGGCCTCACGAGGGAGAGGGGGAGCACCCCCTCCCTGCGAGAGCGGGTGGCGTTGCCTCCACCCACTTGCTTTCGAGCGCGCCGCGATCGCCGCTCCGATGAGCCTGACAACCTGAGCCGCAGCGGAGGGGCCGCGAGGGCCGGGCGCCATCATGCATCTTTGACTTCTTAGGCTTGAGAGAGGGAGCGCGAGAGCGGCAGAGAGCTGGAGAGTGAACTTTGAACAGCACGGGCCAACGACTTTTGCGCAGAGCTACAGCCTACACCAGCTTCAGAGCTTCCAGAGTGCAAAGAGCAAAAACAAACAAACAATCCCCAGAGAGGCAGAGCAGTGCGGTAGACAGGTTGCACCCGGCGGCACGGGCAACGGGCAGGCCCGGGCCTAAAAAAAGAAAGAAACCAGACAACATAGGTAGGTAGGTAGAAAGGTGAAGAACAGGCAACAGCCAGGCTCGGACTGGACACCAACGCGGTATGGGTGGACGCTGGACAGATGATGACGACACGCACGAGCGACACACAGACACAAACAAGCTCACAAGACACACAGCAAAAACACCCAAACACAACATTCTCTCTCTCACACAGCCAGCTGGCTGCCACACACCCTGAGTTGGCGTACACATAACTCAAGGCCACATCCTCCCTGTCGCCCCCCCCAGCACTCCAAGGTGCCAAGAGAAACAAACAAGGGCACAACAAACAACAGACGACAGGAAGTGACATGTGAGGCTAGAGCAGCATGCTCCACCTCTAGCAATCTCTCCGGCCGGCGAGGCACGGACGAGACCGTATGTGGGGTCTAGTGAGGTGTCTAAGGACGCCCTCCTCATGGGCTAGCTGCCTGCGGCTAGCCCTAATCTCGCACTCACGGACAGTGACAATCAAATGGGTGAGTGTTTGCGAGCTGAGGCGCGTGTGCTAACTAATTCTAGGCCGCACGTCGTGGCAGTATGACGTAGGTAGACGTGCGACTGCAGCGCGCCCACCACAGTCTCGGTGGGGCGCGTGTTAGCGATAGAGTTGCGGGGAGAGCCATTCCCGACTTTTGGAGGCGGCCCCCAGAACATACCTTAGACAAAAAGAATCGCATCGAGCCACGCCGCGAAGCTCGCAGCGTCGCCACGCACACAACGTCGCCACGCACACAATCTCTCTTCGCGCAATGTGGCGCAACCGCCTCCCACGCTTGGCCATCGGCGCGGCCGGCGTGACGGCTGCCTCTCTCAGTCGCTCGCTCGCGAGCTCCGACGCCGCCTCGCCGCCAGACGCGACACCGCCAGAAGCGGTGGCGGCGGAGAAGCCTCCGGAGGCCAAGGAGAAGCCTCCCTGCCTGCACACGCACTTGGTCGCCGACTCGTCGTCCGAGGTGATGCGGCGCTACCCGCCCGCACACGAGCGGCAGCTCGCTGAGCGCGTCCTCCTCCGCCCGTGCGTCGACGTTGAGCGAGAGTCGACGACGATGCGGGTGCTGGCCTACGCTCGCGACGGAAGCTCCGAGTCGCTGCTGCTCGCGTTGGGCGAGCGCCTGTGGCCCGAGGGAGCAGCGCTGCACCCGGGTGGCGTCGGCTACCCCGTCCTTCCAATCTCGCTCGCTAAGCTCCCCGAGCCTCCCGAGCCGCCGGAGCCGCCCGAGCCGCCTGCCGAGTCTTCGGAGGCTAGGCCGGCGGCGGGCGCTGCGGAAGGAGAAAAGGGCGCGGCCGGGGGGGGGGAGGAGGAGGAGGAGGAGGAGGAGGCCGTCATCTTGGTCACCCCTGCGTGGGAGCAAGCCGAGTCCCTCTGGAGGCAGCTCGAGGCAACGCCTCCCCTTCGCCTCGCTCCCGCCTCCTCGCCTCCTCGCCTCCTCCCCTTCCCGACCCCCGCCCGCCTCTCCTGCCCACTTCCACGCCCGTCCGCCAGGCGGTCGGCATCCTCGAGCTCGAGCGAGACGCAGAGGCGCTTCCCGTGGCGGCGAGGCTCATGCACGGCGGAGGCGGAGCCGGTGGGAAAGGGAGCCCCCGCCTTCAGAGACATGTCCGCGACACGTCCGCGACATGTCCCGCAGGCGGCCGCTGGACAGGGGAGCTGCCTCCTGCCGCGGCCGGCGCTGTGGCAGGCGGCGGCGGGTGCGGGAGGCTGGCCACCCTCGCCCCCGCCGCACCTCTGAGGCGAGGGGTAGCTCTGCTGTGTAGGGCGAGTCGAGGTTGAGGTCTTTGGCGAGGGAGGAGGGCCGGCGTGGGAGGTGCGCGCCACGACTGCGGCGCCGGAGTGCGGGTTTTGCCGTTTCATGAAGGGTGGGCCGTGCAAGGCTCCTTTCGAGGCGCGCCGCCGCCACACTTCTGAGACAGTTCCGAGACACCGAGACACTTCCGAGACACTTCCTGCAGGCGTGGGAGGCCTGCATCGAGACACTTCCGAGACACTTCCGAGATAGTTCCGCCCCTTCCCGCAGGCGTGGGAGGCCTGCATCGAGGCTGCGCGCGGCAACGGGGAGGACTTTGTGGAGCTGTGCGGCGCCGCGACGCTCGAGCTCAAGCGCTGCACCGACGAGCACCCAGAGTACTATGGCGCTCTCGGCGGCGAGGGCGAGGCGGCCGGTGGCGGCGGCGAGGGCGGCGGCGAGGGCGGCGACGAGGGCGGCGACGAGGGCGGCGGCGGTGCGAAAGAGGCTGCCTCGGAGCAGGCGGCAGCCCCGGAGCCCGCGGTGGCGCCGCCGGTGCGGAGGAAGAGTCGGTACGGAGGCGCCTTCGAGTCGGAGGAGCTTGCCGCGCCGACGAGCGAGCCGCGGTACGGGGGCGCCTTCCGCAAGTAGCACAAGCCGGAAGCCCTTGATCGGCGGGCGCCAACATGCGGCCGCGTCGGTGGCTGGAGGGCTGCAGGGGTGCTGCGCCGGCGCCGCTTTCTCGGTCTCAAGAGTGGCGAGGCGTTCCTCGCCACTGAAGTTCGTTGTCAGAGTTGCGTCGCCGTCGGCCGCCACGCCAGGCAGCCCGAAAGCCGAATGCGGCAGCGCCGGGTAGGCCGGGGAGACATACGTGTATGTTCGCATGTCGCCCGGGGCTCGCACCCCCCGGCCCATGCCCCGGCGCGGCCACGGCCGCCCGGCTTGCCGCCCGCGCGAACACGCCCGTCCGAAGCATATCACGTTTTATTTTGCACCCACTCAAAATACTCACAAAAAGGAGAGACGCTCGCGGCTCGCGGGGCCTCGCGGGGCGCTCGCTCGTCTCTCGAGCGGGGGCCGGGCGGCGCGCGCTAAACGATTAACGAACGCTCACGCGTCGTCTCGGCACGCGCCACGCCGACGCGGCAAGAGTCGAGGCGCAGCGAATAGCACAGCACTCTCAGTGCCCCGCCGCCGCCGGGTCGTGCCATCGCACGAGGCGGTGGGCGGGCGCCAATCTGATCACGGCGTATACGAGGACAAAGGTGACGGCGAACACCTTCGCGGCGAGCATCGGCAGCGACGGCAGCGTCGTCCGCAGCAGCAGCATCGTGGTTTCGCTGTAAGCGCGCCAGGCACCTGGGCGCAATGAGAGGGGGGGGGGGGGGGGCAAGAGCCGCAGCGCCGGTGTAATCTCGGGACGGCTCGGATGATCTAGTGTGACCTCGCACCGTCCGCCTCGTGCGCCGGGTGTAGTCTCGGGTGTGATCTCGGGTGTGATCTCGGGTGTGATCTCGGCTGGTCTCGCACCCTCCGCCTCGTAGGTGCGCAGCAGCTTCGCCATCGGAGAGTCCGCCCCCGCCAGCCGGCCCTCCTGCCCCGCCAGCCAGGCCGCCGGGCCGTGCCCTCCCTGCGACGGCCCGCGCCCCGCGTGCAGGCAAGACGCGGCACAGTGCTCGAGCATGTACGACGGGTTGTTGACGCACTCGCCTCCAGAGGCCCACTGCGGACAGCGCGCCGCCCGGTCGGCCTGGGCCGGGTCGGCCTGAGCCGCGTCGCTGCCCGCCTGCGCCGTGAGGTAGGGCAGCAGATCCGGCAGCGGCAGATCCGGCAGCGGAGTCGAGAGCGCGACGCCAACGTAGGCGAGGGCGAGCAAGACTGTGGCGGCGACGGCGAGGAGAGGGAGAGCGAGTTCGCCGCGCGGGCGAGGCAGCTGCAGCACGCCGGCGAGGTGCTGCCGCGCGGCCGCGAGGGCGAGGCACGAGAGGAAGAGCGAGACGGAGCTCACGCCGACGAGCGCGTCGAGCGCGTCGAGCGCGTCGAGCGGCGAGTCGGCGGCGGGGTGGGCGCCAAGGCCCTCGCCGCCGCCCGCCCCAGCTGGCGCCGCGTCGGTCGCGCGCGCTGGAGGCGCGGTGAGCGCCCACAGGTTCTGCTGCAGGAAGAAGACGAAGAAGCCGACGAAGGCGGCGAACCAGAGCGCGAGCAGCTTGCGCGGCGCGAGCAGAAAGGCGACCAGCTCGGCGGCGGGCGGCAGCAGCGGCGCGGCAGCCAGTTCCGCGGCTCCGCCCTGCGCGCCCTCGGCTGGCAGCGCGGCGCGGCCGAGCACTGCGGCGACAATCCTCTCGTCGAGCCGCGTCGGCGGCGCGGCGGAGCGCGAGAAAGCGGTCACCTCGGGCGTGTCACGCCGGGCTCGATGCGCCGCGACGCCGCTCCTTCCGGCGTGGCGCTCGACCGCCGCCTTGAGGGCAAACGAGAGCGCCACGTGCGCCATCGGCGTGCCGCAGGTCGGGCACGGGTCTCTGCCACGCTCCATCCATGCTGCAACGCAGCCAGCGCAAAAGCTGTGGCCGCATGGGAACGACGTGCAGGGATCGAGAAGCAAGTCGAGACAAATGGCGCAACTCAGCTCATCCGGCACGGGCGGTTCCGAGTCGACCGCATCCTCCGTGTCGCGTGCGGGCATATACACACAAGGTCGCTTGTGGGGGGCGCAAGGCCACAGCCGCGCAAGAGGCCACAAAACCTGCGGGTACTGCGAGTAAAAGAATTTAAAGGCTGGCGGGCGCCGGACTCAAAAGACACCTGGCTCCACACACAACACTTCTCCTTAAAATCCCTGTGTGGTGGCGGCGTGCCGTCCTCCCATCCCTCCCTTGCCTTGTCTGTTTTCTTTCTTTCTTTCTTTTCAAAAGACACCCGCACGACACTGGGAAAGGAGAGTGGACCTGAGCAACGACATGGACGCTTGGAGGCAAATGATCGGAGTGGGAGTCAGAAATGTGGTCCTTGGCTTGCGCGAGGAGAGCTCGATACACTCGAGGGGCCAAAACATGCCGCGAGGAGGGCGGAGTTACGCAGAGAGGCGAGAGAAGCAGCGAGAGCAAGGGATCGGCAGACGGCAGCGGCGTCTCAGAACGAGGCCGAGGAGAGCGATGAGTCAGAGGATGAAACAGCAGGAGAGAGAACGAGGACGAGAGTGAGAATTCTTAAAATACAAGCCTCTCTCACAGCACACTGGCACGACAAGGGCGCGGACTGGCGCGGACTGTGTGAGAAGAACGCGAGGTGGCATGAAGGTCGCTGCGATAATTGGTGAGAAACTGCGAAGAGAGATAGGAAGTGGTAGACGCCCGAGGGTGGGCGACGGCTAGCACCACACTTCTCCCCTTGAAATCCCTGTGTGGTGGCGGCGTGCCGTCCTCCCATCCCTCCCTTGCGGTTTGCAAAACAAACTTTTCATCACGTCGATGTTTCGCTTTCATAACCCGAAGATTGCCCTCGAAAACATGATTCCAGAAGGGGCCCAAATCATGCTGGATCTCGATCAGGGCTTCGCCGAGGCTCCGCTGCACGTCACCACATCCAACTTCTTCACGAATCCCGTAAACTCCAACGGCGAGGTGGTCGTCTTCGGCGTCGCCTTCGGAGGGGCTTTGCAACCGCCGTCCACGCTCACCTTTGTGAGGCCCAGCGACAACACCGTGCTCAAGCAGTGCGACCTGACGTACAACGACGGCCCTGCGTACATCAACAATTTCGCAATCGTCGACGAGCACATCGTTGCCGGAATCTCCGACGGCGGCATGGTAGAGAACTCGGTGGGCAGCGACGGCGTGCCAGGCTATTTTTCGGCGGCCTCGTACAACAAGTACGCCGAAATCGACCTCGCGTCGTGCGCGATCACGGCGAAGCACGATGTCAACTACATTCTCGGCACGAAGCACATTTTGGGCAGGACCTTTTATCTGTCGGGCGATTTCAAGTTTTACGAAGTCGACGGCGGCGTTGTGTCAATGATCGTCGACGTGCGGGACGAGTACAATGGTCGCTCGCCGCCTCCCGCGCGTTCCGTCGCCCCCGATTTCGAAACCGCCGTCATGACGGGCGGGCCCAGCATCGACAACTTCTTCGTGGACAATGTCGGAGACGAAGTATACGCCACCTTTTCCATCGGCTCCACGCTGTACACGCGCAAATTGCCGTGACCGCTCCTGCAGCGCGGCGGTCGCATCGTCGACGCGCGCGTCGCACAGCAGCGACGCGCGCACCGCGCGCACCGCCTCGGGCAGGCGGGTGTCGTGCGCGTCTCACGGCCGGGCCGCGGGACGGGGAGGGAGGGGCGTCGATCCGTAAATCCGTAAATCCGTACATTTGTAACCAAAAAACACGAGAGACCCCCCCCCCGCTTCAATACAGTGCGTTGCGACACACCCTTCCTGGCTGACGGTCGAGCAGTGTGCAAGCCGCGTGCGCCCATTCTGGCCTCGCCAAGCTTGGAACATGGGAGTTAATGATGCTTGGGATCTAGGTCTACAACCACTGACGTGAGTGGATCCACATTCGCGTCATAAGGCATCCTGGCCCGCTGCGGCCACAGCCAGCATTGCGTAGCGACGCACTGTGTGTGGCTGGCAGCAAGCAAACTCAAATGACGACGGGTTGCAGCCTCGTAGCTCAACATTGTGCATGAGGAAGGTTGATAGAAGCAGCATCAGCCACACAACCAACAGCTTCTGGAGAGTATGCTTAGCGCAAGCAGCCGGTGATCAAAGGCGCGTGTTGCTGTCGGTGGCAGTGTGCCCGAGAGGGACGCCAGCGCTTCGGTGCGTGGCTTCGGGGTGGTCGCGCAATTTCCACCGCTCAACTTGGAGGCAGTGTGTCTAGTAGCGTGCTACAGCTATGACGGTGGACCTCACTGGGGCGCGGACGTGCGACGACCGGATGTCGCTGCGTGGCTGTGGCTGGGTGGCTGAGGCTGCGTGGCTATGGCTGCGTGGCTGTGGTTGTGGATGCGTAGCTGTGCTGGGATCGAAAGACGAAACCGCGTCCCAGTGGAGCTCGTGTGCAGAGCGCGCTCCGGAGCTCTGTGGCGGAGAATTTGAAGGGAACGTGGTGGCTTCCCACCGCCTCTGTATGTACCCAATAAAGTGCTAACACGACCCTCGGGTAGCATGGGGTGTGTGGCGAGCGCACGGAGGCGCAGTTAGGCCGCCGTGATATCGCCCTTCCGGGCACCCCGTTTCGGTAGAGCCGTCGTTTAGGGGTTAACCGTGACCGCAACTTCTCTTCCAACTTATCGCAATATAAGGGCTGTTCCGAGAGAGAGGCTCCGGGTCTCAGCGCCTCAGGTGGGCCCAGTGGCCGGTGTTCTGAATAACAAATAGAAAGCGCCGCTGGCAACCGAGCGTGAGTGAGTGGCCAAGATCGTATCACCTTCTCTGGCTCTTCAGAAGATCTGGCTCTGGCTCATGCCCCGCCGCATTATGCTCTCGCCGCCGCCGCCGTGCCGGCGGAAATAATTATATTAAGGTTCTTCGGGCCCCTTTAGGGGGGCAAACCCTGCCCGGCCCCTAGAACCCCAGGTAAGGCCCAGGTGTGGCCTAGGGCATCAGAAGGGACCAAGAGGAGTCCAGTCTGAGCCATAGAGCCCATGTCTTTGCCCCCGAAGGTCGCGTTCAAATGCCCGGAACGGACGTTACAGTGGTGTCCGGCCGGCGCGATCACCGAGCTGTGACGCTCAGGGAAGCCTGATGAGGTACTGGTTTCTTTGCCCAGGCCTGGCCTACGACCCATGCTGGATCAGCTGAGCAAGGTTTGGGGAGAATCCTATATTGGGATCTTCAGATATTTTGACGGATGACCAAAATCACCCCGTTTTTGCCCATTTTCGGTGAGAAGTAACGTACCGCCGTAGTGGTGCTGAATTGATCTGGCAGTGTTTGCGCTCGGGCTCGCTCATGCCGACTGGTGGAGGAACGTGTGGAGCCGCCTGGCGTTTTGCTCGCCGAGCAGCTCCGCCAAGCGGCCGAGCGACAGCTGCGAGAGCTCGTGCATGTTGGTTACCGCGTTCATCAGCCGGCGGTAATTGTGCGCGTGCACGCCCGGCATCGAGCGCAGCAAGTCCTGCGGCGTCATGTTGAAGAGCTGGCCCGCAGCTTGCTCGGCGTGAGTGCCGACCGCCGCCGCCTTGTCGACGTCGGGTTCGGGCGCGCCGCGCTTGAGCGCGTCAAAGATGGCGATCGTGTGCAGGGGGCGGCGCGACCAGAGCAGCCGCAGCTTTGGGAAGTGGAGCAGCAGCAAGCACAGCTTGGAGGTGGTCGAGTTGGGAGAGAGATCGGCGGCGAGCTCGGCGCGCCTGCAGGCAGGATCCGTGGGCAGGGTCGGGGGGCGGCCACGCCAGAGAGGCCTGCCGCCACCGCGGCGCGCGTCGCGAGAGCAAACGGCCGGTTCTCGTCGAACTCGAGGAGGAGGGTCGGCCTGCGCACGGCGCTGCCCCTGTGAAGAGACGCCGTTCACACCTCCGCCCCTCTGGCGCCCTCGAGGGGGGGTCGCCTCCGGTACGTGCGCAGCATCGAGGAATCTCGGGTCATCTCGGGCAATCTCGGGTCATCTCGGGTCGCCTCCGGTACGTGCGCAGCATCGCCTCCGCCTGGTTGTAGAGTCGGCCCGAGGCGAGCGATTGCACCTGGACGAGCGGCCACAGCACGGGCTCGGCCCGCGTGCGTGGAGAGGAGGGCGGGTAGGGGCGAGAGGGCGGCGGCGGCACCAGGTCGGGGAGGGCCTTGCGCTCGACCACGAGGTCGGGGGCAAGGACGTAGTCACCGACCTCGAGCGTCGCCTGCTCACACCGCCGCACCGTGAGCAGCGCCTCGCCGCGGCAGCCGTCCCTCCCCGCCTCGAGCGTCGCCGGCCGCAGCGTCACGCCGTGCAGCTGCAGCATGTTGGGCAGCGCCGAGCGGAACTCGCGCAAATCCACCACGGCTGTCGGGGCACCTCGAGAGGAGGAGGCGCGAGCGCGGCCTCCGCGCAGCGTCGCCGCGTTGCTGCCTGCACTCGCCTCCTCCTCGAGGCGGAGCTGGGGCGGCAGCTGCTGCGCCGTGCGGCCCTCCCACTCCGAGGGCAGCGCCATCCGCCCTACGAGAGCACGGCACGGCTGGGGCACAGCTGGGGGCACAGCTGGGGGCAGGCGTGGCGCGGCGGGAGGGGGGGGCGGGCGGGGGGGGGGGGGGCCGGGAACCCTTTGCGAGGATGAGCCCCTCGAAGGCCTCCTTCTCCGCGGTGAGGTCGGAGCGGTAGCCTTGCTCCTCGACAGAATCGGCAAGCACCTGCTCACGGCTTGACGCGTCAACATCGTCTACTCACAGCTTGCTGCTCCCCGCAGAGTTGGCCAGCGCCAGAAAATAGACTCGCATACACACGCCGCCGCATCGCCGCGCCTGCTCGAGCTCGATCGCTCGGACCATCGCCGGCTCGGGGTCGTAGAGCAGCACGTGCCGCGGCGCGAGGGACGAGAGGAGGCCGAAGGCGCGCCCTCCGTGCTGCACGAGGGCGACCTCGACGCCGAGCGCGTCGAACAGCTCAAACCGCGCGCCGCTCTCCGCCTCCTCGTCGCCGTCGTCATTGTCGCCGCCGCCGCCGCCGGCTGCAGAAGCGCCTGCTGCTCCGCAAGCACTCAACCTCAGTGCTGCGATGACTTGGGCGGCGAGGCAGAGCTGCAGCTGCTGAACCTCCACCCCCGCCTCCCCCGCCTCCTCCGCCTCCGCCTCCAGGCGCGGTCTTGCGCTTGCGCCCTCGCCCCTCGCGGCCGCGGCCGCCCCTGCCTCTGGCATCGCCGCCGCCGCCGCCCGCGCCGCCGCCGCCGCTTGCACTCCCGCCGCCGCCTGCGCCGCCGCCGCCGCCGCGACCCGACGCCCACCCTTGGTCAGGCTGGTTCCGAGGGTTTTGCGGGGCTGCCTCGGCTCCCGGAAGCGCGCTCGGGCCACCGCCTCCCTCCGAGAGCGACGCGTGCGAAGAGGCGAGTCGCTCGGCGGCGGCGCGTAGCAGCGACGCCTGTTGTCAGGGCAACTCTAGCCCCAACCCTAACCCTAACCCTAACCCTACCCTCCAACGCCTCTTTTCGGGGCAACTCCTCAGCTCCTCAGGCGGACGTTGTCGGGGGCAAACGCGCCAGCTGGGCACGCGCGGCGCGGACGGCTAGCGGGGCCAGCTGGAGTGGAAGCGAACGCACCTCATGTTGGCGACTCGAGAGCAGGCAGCCCGCCTAGACACTTCCTAGACACTTCCTAGACACTTCCTAGACACTTCCTCGAGAGCAGGCAGCCCGCCGGCGTCTGCGAGCGAGAGCGGCGGCCCACCCAACGCACGAGAGTGGCCTACGAGGGCGGGCGGGCGTGTCGAGGCGCCATCGGAGCGTGTGGGATCACCTCTGTAAACGGACGCAGCCTCGAGGAGGGGGCGAGCGCCGTAGCTCAGCAGCTGCCGCACCGCGACCGCAGTGCGTGCATCTCGGACGAGCAGCAGCACCGGCGGCTCGCCTATGGGAAGGTTCCTGGAAGCTCCCTGGAGGCTGCCTGGAAGGCTCGCCACGCCCACACCGCTCGCCGCCTCCACCGCCTCCCCCACCGCCGCCGCCTCCTCCACCGCCTCCACCGCCGCCGCCTCCTCCGCCGCCTCCTCCACCGCCTCCTCCGCCGCCTCCTCCACCGCCTCCTCCACCGCCTCCTCCGCCCTGTCCCGCTGCGTCGCCACGGTCTGCGCTGGTGGTGCCGCCGCCGTGTGCGCTGGTGGTGCCGCCGGCGCGCTCCGAGGCGATCTCTCGCAGCAGCTGCAGCAGAGCGCTCCACTTCGGGTGCTCCTCAAGCTCGAGACGCACCTGTCGGCACAAGCCCGCCCACGGGTAGGGCGAGGGAGGAGAGGTTGCGAGCGCGCCTCCCCGCGCCGCACCCCGAGGGGAGGGCCTCCTCCCCGCGGCGCCGCGGCGCCCTCGACGCCGCCGAGGCTGTGTGACAGCTCGAGCCGGCCGCCCACGCCAGCCTCGCCGCCGCCAGCCTCGCCGCTGCCGCCGCCAGCAGCGGCAGGGGCGTCGGAGCCGCCGCTGCTGCTACTGCCCCCAGCGGCGCCCCCTCCGCTGCCGCCGGCTCCACCGCTGCCGCCGGCTCCGAGCGGCGCTGGAGGGAGGGGCGACGGGCCGCGCCTACAGGAAGGTTCCCGGAAGGTTCAGGAGGCACGCCCTGCGGGGAGGGATGGTGGACCGCGCCGCCGCGCCGGACGCGCAGCAGCGGCTGCGTGCGCTGCAGCGAGTAGACGCGCTCGCGCGCCGCGACGAAGACGGCCTGAGGGGCGCCGGCCGGGGACGTGTCCTGGACGCGGCTCTCAGGCAGGCTCCCGCGCCGCGCCGCCGCCAGCCTCGCTCGAGTGGATCACCCAGTGAGGTCGCTCCGACGGGTGCAGCGCCGTGGCGGCGTCGAGGACGGTCTCGAGGTACTCGAAGAAGGTGACCTGGCGGGACGTGTCCTGGACGCGTGAGGGGCACGCCGAGGGTCGGACTCGAGGCGCGAGGAGGCGGGTGACCGCGTCGTACCACGCGAGCAGCGAGAGGAGACGCCTACGGGAAGTGTCTAGGAAGTGACTGGGAAGTGTCTAGGAAGTACCACGCGAGCAGCGAGAGGAGACGCCTACGGGAAGGCTGCGAGACGCTTCCCGGAAGGCTCCTGGAAGGCGCCACGAGAAGCGAGGGCAGCCGCCGGATGGTCTGCAAGTCGGAGACGAGGGCGCGTGTGCGGCGGCTTGTCTTGTGCCAGATCGGGTCGAGCTGCGCGCGGACGACGCTGTCGAAGGACTTGAAGAGCGCCTGTCCGGGCGGAGAGGCGCGAGTCCGTTGAACCCTTCCCCCCTCGCCAGTCCCTCGCCAGGGAGGAGGTGCCTTCTCGGTGGTCAGCTGCGACACGTCGACTAGGAAGTGTCTAGGAAGTGTCTAGGGAGTGTCTAGGGAGTGTCTAGGAAGGCCTCCTTCTCGGTGGTCAGCTGCGACACGTCGACGGAAGGGTTCGAAGAGCGCAGCTCCCCGACGCAAGCCTCGAGCGCCTGGCCGCGGGCGATATACACATAGAGAGGGGCCGGCGGCGCTACTCTGCCCGCCCGGAGGCGTGGCCGCGCTCTCTCTTGGGTCGCGTCTCTCCTCGAGCAGCGCCATGTCTAGGAACTGTCTAGGAAGTGTCTAGGAAGTGTCTGCCTCACACCTCGAGCAGCGCCAGCTGCAGGCGACTCGCTCGCGGAGAGAGCGGGACCGACAGCTCCTCCACCTCGGGCGGCGCCGCACTCAGGCAGGCGGCCACCTCTGCGCGGAAGCGAGGCCAGAGCAGCAGCCTCCGCACGAAGAGGGTCGAGAGCAGCCGCTCGATGCGAGAATAGCCGCGCAGCAGCGGCGCGGCGTCGTCGGAGAGCGCGCGGATGGAGCCGGCGCGCGTGCGCTGGCGGTACATGCGCAGAGCAAAGGCGACGTTCGAGGTTGCCGTCACGCGGTGCGCGTTGGCGACGATGACGCCCGTCACGAGCCCGGTCGGCAGCCGCTCACAGAGCATGTCCACGACGAGGATCCGCGCCGTCACGAGCAGGACGCCGCCGCGCAGGTACCGCTCGGCGCGCTGAGGCGCCGACCACTCGTTGTTGATTGTCGGTGGCACCAGCGCCTCATCGTGGCCCGCCGCAGCCAGCTCGGAGAGCAGGAGCGCCTCGTCGTCGCGGCTCGTATTCAGGACGAGCACGAGGTTCTCCGGGCCGAGCTGCGACTCGACGAGCCGCCGCAGGACGGCGTGCACGCCGAGGCCCTTGGCGAGCACCAGCAGCGAATCCTCGGCCTCTAGCTCCGCAAGCGCGGCCTGGAGGAAGGCGGGCAGAGGGGCCGGCGGCGGTGGAGGGAGAGCCGCCTGCATTACAATAAAAAGAATTTTCCGCGGCGAAAAGAAAATCCGGCCGCGATTTGAGTTGCCGGGGATGTACAGGGGGCCGGTACCAGGTACAGTAGACTGCTTGGTGCACTCGACTACTTGAGAGTCTCTCAGCCTACTGCAGGTTGACAGAATGAAAGGGCATGAGGACTCCAATCCGGACGTCGCCTTCGAGGCGCTGGTCCGAGCTCAGCTCACGCGCATGGGCTACGACGCCAGCGCGGTGCCTGATGAGGTCGCCGGAGCCTGCCAACCTTCATGCCTTCCTCAAGCCCCCACATCCAACACTGCCTCCCCTCGCTCAGATGCTACGCGCCTTCTTGCGCGAGTACCACGCTGCGCCGCACGCGCCTCCGCCTCTGAGCGCCGCCCAGCCACCGCCTCGCGTCTCTGCCGCCGCCTACCCCGCCTCCGAACCGGTCGACGAGGCTCCTTCGGGCCTGCTCCCGGAGCGCCGCCGCGGCGACGTCGAACGCGCGTCGCCAGCCCGCGGCGCGCCCTTCTGCCGGCCTGCGGAAACGACGACCCCAACCCGCGGCTACCCTTCCCCTCCCGCGGCCCGCGGTGGCGTTGCGTCGTCTGCGACCCCGGCGTCCAGCGGGCTGGGCCGGGCGCGGCGGCGCACCCCCCGCGGCAGCGCGCCGGGGGGGGCGTCTCCGCCTCTCCCTCCCCACCGCGGGTCTGCCGGCGGCGAGTCGGTGGCCTCGAGCGGCGCGGAAGGCTCCTCTGCGTCGCTCATACGCAAGGTCGACCTGACGCCTCGCCGCCCGCGGCAGGACGTGGTCGCAAGCTACCACCGCCACGCCGCGGCCTGGAGCGGGCACCCCTTTCTGGGCCCAAGAGAGGCCGGCCGACGCACGCCCCGCAGCCCGCCGCAGCCACAACCGCCCGCTGCACAGTCGCCGTGGCGGCCTCGGAGCGTCAAGGCGCCGCCGCAGTTCGTCGTGCCGACGAGCAAGAGGCGCGACGACGTCGTCTGCGCCGTCCGCGAGCGGCTTCGCGCCTCGGAGCCCGTCGACGATGGCCGCCGCCCTGCCCGCCGCCTGACGCCAAACCACTTTGTGCCGCCGACAGAGAAGCGGCGCGACGCGCTGCGCTGGCAGGTGCGTGTGGGCATGGCTTGCGCTTACTGACGCGGAGGAGACGCGCTTTGGGTGCCACCGCTTCACAGGGCCGCAATATCGGTCCATGCTGCATGATGCCGACTCCGAGCCGGCAGCCGCGGCTTGGACGCGGCGCGAGGGGGTCGGCCGACTCGCGAGTCGGCCGACCGTCGCTCGCGGGTGGGTGTCGCTTTCCCTTGAACGTTGGTTGAATGAAGTTCCCCCACACCAAGCGTTCCCGCTGTTTCTCGATTCTCCTAGGAAGGAAGTGAGCTGTGAGGCGAAAAAAGCTCTGGGGGGAGGCGAGGGCCCTAGAGGGCATCCATGCGGGGGGGAGATGGGGTCCCATGGGCCGCCGCAGGCGCCGATTTTTTCGGGATTTTTTTCTTTTTTGCGCGATTTTTTACTTGGTTGCATGGGAATTCGCTGTACTTGCGGGCATGCTATCACGCCTTGCGACAGCCTGTCGGCGCTGCTGACCGTGCCCTGCTGCGCAATTGACCACCTGCATAGCTCGCGGCCTTAGTATCCACCATTCAGTGACGACCTGATCGTACGGCCAGTAGGAAGCAAGGTGTCCTTCCAGCGCGTGCACGCTTCTGACGCAATGCGCGTCACAAACTGCCTCGGCGACTGGCTGCTGGCACTCTCGAGGCTATGCCTACACAGCCTCGCGCGCATGGGCAGTCATACAAGAGGGACCATGCACTTTCTCAGGAGAGCGCCGGTGCCTCTCTCTTGGACCGGCAAACTTGGTGGTCTCGTGTCACCAATGTGGGACCAGTGCAGCATCGCGCCATCGACAGCTCTGAACTGCGCCTCACCACTGACCGGGAAGGCCGCCAAGTGGGCCAGCACAGGTCGCACATTGTGGCAGCAGTCAGCAGTGCATGTCTGATAGCTAGAGCAGCAGCGTCAGGGTCGCAGGGTCGGATCGTGTCAAGCCTCTCGCCCGGCCGGCCGCGTGCAGACGTCGGCCTGTCTGCTGTCTGGAGTGATCTGTCGGCGGTCAGTACGACCGATCAGGTCGGAGTTTTCTGATGGTTGGAGGGTCTATCTGTATGTACTCCTCGAGTTCTCTCCAAATCTGCCCTCTGATTAACCTAGCTTAATCGGGAAGTCGGTGCTAGCGGAGACTAGCGGAGCCGGAGCCCCGTTTCCGCACTGCTGCGCGGCGCACGGTGCCTCCGGGGGCCCCCGCCTCCCCCCAGAGGAAAAAAGACCGGTGGCGCGGCACACTTTAATGACAAAATCACAAATCTAAATGCATTTAAATAATTAAAAACCCCGCTTAGTGACAAGAGGCTAGGATCCCTAGTTCCATTTCACTGTGGCACAGCTCGCGTTACAAAACCTTGATTTGACCATTTGCGCACTATTGTACCTCTCGGTGCCTTCCAGACGCAGCTGCGACCCCGCCGAATGGACGGGCGCACA